TTCAGTCTTCCTCTCACTTGGTGATGTACCTGTGTTTTCCTGGTTGCTTCATAGCTCATTTATGTGTGTGCTGCAACCTCAATAGTGCAAGTTCAATCGTTCTCTCACTTGGTGATGTGGCGGTGCCTTCCTAGTTGCTCCATGGCTCATGCATGTGTGTGTTGTAGTCTCTTTGGTGCACGTTCAGTTTTCCTCTCACTTTGTGATGTACCGATGTTTTCCTAGTTGCTCCATAACTCATGTGTCTGTGTTGTAGCCTCAATAGTGCAATTTCAGTCTTTCTCTCACTTGTGATGTGGCCGTGCCTTCCTAGTTGCTCCACAACTGATATGTGTGTGTTGTAATCTCATTGATGGGAGTTCAGTCTTTCCTCACTTGGTGATGTGGCGGTTCCTTCCTAGGTGTTCCATAGCTCACCTATGTATGTGTTGTAGTCTCATTGGTGCAAGTTCAGTCCATCTTTCACTTAGTGATGTACCGGTTCCTTCCTAGATACTCCATAGCTCATGTGTGTATGTTGCACTCTCACATGTGCAACTTCAGTCTTTCTCTCACTTGGTAATGTGGTGGTGCTTTCCTAGTTGCTCCACAGCTCAAGTAGGTGTGTGTTGTAGTCTCTTTCGTGCAAGTACAATCTTCCTCTCACTTGGGGATGTACCAGTTCTTTCTTAGTTGCTCCATAACTCGTATATGTGTGTGATGCAGCCTCAATAACGCAAGTTCAATATTTCTCTCACTTGGTGATGTGGCGGTGCCTTCCTAGTTGCTCCATAACTCATGTATGTATGTGTGTAGTCTCATTGGTGCAAGTTCGGTCTATTAGTTGCTCCATAGCTCATGTATGTGTGTGTTGCAGCCTCAATCGTGAAGTTCAGTCTTTCTCTCACTTAGTGATGTGACAATTCCTTCCTAGTTGCTCCTTCATAGTTGCTCCATAACTCATATATGTAGGTGTTGTAGTCTCATTAGTGCGAGTTCAGGCTTTCTCTCACTTGGTGATATACCAGTGCTTTCCTAGTTGCTCCATAGTTCATGTATGTGTGTGCTGCAACCTCAATTATGCAAGTTCAGTTTTTCTCTCACTTGGTGATGTGGCGGTGCTTTCCTAGTTGCTCCATAGCTCATGTATAAGTGTGTTGTACTCTCTTTGGTGCAAGTTCAGTCTTCCCCTCACTTGGTGATATACCGGTGTTTTCTTAGTTGCTCCATAGCTCATGTATGTGTGTGTTGCAACCTCAATATGGCAAGTTCAGTCTTTCTCTCACTTGGTGATGTGGCGGTGTCTTCCTATTTGCTCCATAGCTCATATGTGTGTGTGTTGCACTCTCATTGGCGGAAGTTCAGTCTTTCCTCACTTAGTGATGTGGCGGTTCCTTCTTTGTTGCTCCATAACTCATGTATGTATCTGTTGTAGTATCATTGGTGCAAGTTCAGTCGATCTTTCACTTAGTGATGCACTAGATGCTTTCTAGTAGCTCCATAACTCACATGTGTGTATGTTGCACTCTCACATGTGCAAGTTCAGTCTTTCTCTCACTTGATGATAAAGCGGTGCTTTCCTAGTTGCTCCATAGTTCCTGTATGTGTGTGTTGTAGTCTCTTTGGTGCAAGTTCATTCTTCTTCTCACTTGGTGATGTATCGGTGTTTTCCTAGCACTCCATAACTCAAGTATGTGTGTGTTGCAGCCTAAATAGTGCAAGTTCAGTCTTTCTCTCACTTGGTGATGTGGMGGTGTCTTCCTAGTTGCTCCATAGCTTATGTATATGTGTCTTGTAGTCTCTTTGGTGCAACTTCAGTCTTCCTCTCACTTGGTGATGTACCTGTG